AAACCATTTCAGGTGACTACCTCTTGAAGCTCATGGAGAGAATGCCAAGAGTGTGCAAAGCAGTAATCAGAGCAAAGGGTGGCTATTTTGAAGAAACTAGAATATAAAACATGTTTTCAGTTATTTCACCTTTTTTTGTTAAGTACATAACTCCACATGTGTTCATTCATAGTTTTGATGCCTTCAGTGAGAATCTACAATGTAAATAGTCATGAAAATAAAGAAAACGCATTGAATGAGAAGGTGTGTCCAAACTTTTGGCCTGTACTGTATATATATATATATATACACATACACATATAGATATAGATATAAAAAACCTTTCTTGTCACCAGATAACGGTTGACAAAAAAGTGTTTACAGCCTAATCAGCAGGCCCAAACAGTATTTTCTATTGTTTTGTTTGGTGATCCAAAATTGAAAATAAATTGTGGAATTCTGCGAAATGTTTTTTTTCCTTGCTCCTAATGTGATAGAATTGTCTTTGAACAAAAATAACCTCATACAATACATTAAAACCTAAAACTACCTCGACCAGGCCAAAAGAACTAACAAAAGATTTTAGAAGAAACTTTGAATCAGAAATTTGACTCAATCATGAATACTTCAATGAAAATTTAAACATTTGTTGGAAAACTCAGTCAACAAAATGTGGGACACATGGCCATTAAAATGGAAGGTTCAATATAGAGCAGCAAAAACAAAAATTATTATTAACAGTAAATCTTTGTTATATTTGTTCTCACTACACCACTAACTTTGATTTTAATGCTAACTGAATACAGCACACGATTGTCACACACATGCACAAGGAGGTGGAGGAGACAGTGACAACATTCTGAGTTTTACAAGCAGCATCTATATTCCTTAAATCTGCAGAAAGTCTGCAGAGTTCTGCTGGTGCAAGTTCTACATGGGCCTGCTAATCAGGCATGACATTATTATAGACTATATCAGGGATACTCAACTTTGCCCAGGGGCCACTTTTGCAAAATGACACGGGGCCAGGGGCCAATAGCAGCCCTGCAAAGGTCAGGTTTATGCAGGGGTGCTTCTAGGATTTGAGGACATTTGGGGCTTAGCCTGGACCTCTGTTGGGGGGTCTGGGGATCCTCCCCTGGCACTTTTTTTTTGATAAACAAGTTCTATGAAAATGGTTGGGAGGCTACCCAGCACCCTATCATGGGCCAGATTTGGCCCATCGGCCATAAGTTGATTATCACTACTATAGTGTTGTTTCCAATGTTTAGTATTGGGTATGTCCAATATCCTTGTTTATATTTGAAACTAGACTGTATTATAAAATAAAGAAATAATCTCTTTTGCAGTTGTTGCTGCTCTTCATCGCTGTGCAATAATCCAAAATGATTTGATTTATTTCCTGAAGCTTTTGTGCAAAATTAAATAACAAAACTGAAGTGCTCTCTTGGATATTTCATGATTGGTAGTATGGCCAATGAGTTTGACGAAAGTCTAACAGACTTTCACAA